TGGGGGGGGGGGGGGCGGTAAGGATTACATTTGAAACTGTATTTTTAAAAATAATTTAAAAAAAATTAATGTGCATTTTACCCAGCATTTCCCCTAGGGCTCTTCCTCACAGCTAATGGCTGGCTGCTGTCCTGATGGCTACTGTCATGGTCAGTCCTGGATGGCTTTGCTTCCTCGGACATCCTGGAAAATTAATGATGATCCACAAATGAAACAAGCCACTTGCAATAAGATCTCCAAAGGGACGGTCACTTTCGCAATTTCAACTCCAGTTAATGCTTCATCGCAGTCCTATCGTAGCCAACTATAAATGTGAAAGTTTACATACCCTTGATGGAGGTCCAAGTATAAACCAAGATTAGGACTTGGGTTTTATAGCAGTTAATTCTAAATTGTGATCAAGATCCCTATGAAACATATTCATAACATAAACTGAAAGTCCATAAGACAATGTAACAGTCTTCGAACAATGGCAGTTTAACTCCTATTTCAGTGTCTGGCAAGATGTCATCAGGGATTTCATTTTACATTTTTCTTTTCATGATACTTCTAGAAGAAAAATTTAACCTCACAGCAGTTTTTTGAGTAGATAGTACGTATAAGACTGAAGAATAGAAATGAAATCCACCATCATATAAAGCATCAAACAAAAATTTAGAGTGTACTCTCTCTCTCCCTCTCTCTCTCTTACACACACACACATACACACACACACACATTTACTGTACACACTCCCACAAGAAAAACATGTTAATCAAAGTTGTCTACACATACACCAGTGAGTCCCTAAACTCTCCAACCTTCCCCTTTTCTCTAATTATAAATATCCTTAATTAACTAGAGGATCAGAGAGGCGATACCGCCTCCGGATATTGTACCACCAGCTGGAGTAAGCGCATTCGTATGGACCCCCCCACCCCTCCAAAAAGGGACACCATCACCAGTCTTGTGCTTGACAAGCTCTATAAGATGCAATCAATAAGAGTTCTCAAAATATGCAAAAAAATATAACTAAAAATGGTATAATCAAGCAGATTTTCGAATTGACTTACATTTTCCTACCCTTGATCACTCTTGTATTCTCTAGACAAAAGGCCTATTGGTTTTCCTTGAAAAGTGTTGTCAATGGTGCATATATGCTGACAAAAGAGAAAACCTAGGGGCAACAAGGGGCACATCTCTGCTAGTTTTAAAGATATGAGAGGCAAGAAAATATGCAAAGCTCAGTTCATGGTGAAAAAGTAGGTCAAAGGTCAATTTCAATATCATAGTATATGAATTTCTATTCAAGTTCAATAGCAACCATGGGTATTTCTTTGCCAATTTTGCAGATTTAAAGGCCTGAAAACATGCAAAAAGCAGTTCATCATAAAAAGTAGGTCAAAGGTCAATTTCAAGGTCACAGATTGCTAGTGTATTACTTCCTATTCAAGTTCAATAGTA